TATTTTCTTCTTTCCCATATACAAATTTTAAGCAAATAGCATGTCGTCTGGCTAAGTTGTTACATGTTGAATATATATATATATATATATATATATATATTAACACATAGCTTATGTGTGTGTTTTGATCATGGGAAAAGCTAAAAAGAAAATTATTAAATAATGAGTTTTATGACTGAGCTAAGACCTTTGTTAGTCTAAAAGCAAAGAAAAGTAACCTTGGTGCTGTGATTTCATGTCATGTTACTTAAGTAAAAAGGCATTTGGCATGTTACGTTTTGTGGTAAGGGAGGAGGGGAGTGAAAGGAAAAAATGAGTAATATTAAAAGCAAAGAAAATCTAGGTTACTGCAGAGGCTAATTGGTTAAAAAAAGTAAGAAACTTCAAAACAGAAGGAAATGAAAAATATTTTCATAAGGCTGGAATTCTATGTAGTATATTTAGAAGTCAGATTTTTAAAATCCTTAAATATTAAAGCAATCTGCTTAGATTTGGTTCAATGGAGAGATCTTATCCCATTTGACTTCTACTAGATGAAAATTAATCTTACTGTTCTTATTAAATTATAATTAACCAATGATCTAAGAAGCCAAAAAAAAAAAAAAGGCAGTTAACCTAACAGTTTCACTTGAATGAATGAGAGGGGTTATTAAAGCAAAGTTTGGATCTGCCCTTCAATTTTGTATACTGATTACTTGCCCTCAGGGCAGTTCATGGTTTACTGATCTATGAATGAATAGAAGTGTTCATTGTTGGCAAGCACAGGCTAGAAGAGAATTTTATTAATAGGAATTGTAGGAAGAATTAGATTTATCAACAGCAGTTCAGTGTGGCCAACCCCATGACTTTGTTTCTACTAAAGTTCAGTGGATTTGCTAATGGATGTCTTATATGACTGGTGTGTTTTTTTATGTAAATTGCAACTTAAATTTCCATACATGTATATACACATATGTATATATATATTTATTTATTTATATACATATATTAGTAAATATTATACACATATATTAGTAAATATTGTGCTCTTCCTAAAGAAACTAACTGCTTTAAACCTTTAGCTAGTGTTTCCCCCAACCCCTTCTCCCTGCTCTTCCCCATTAACCATTCTTGCCAAGAGAGCAGGTTTCAATGTCCCCATGCATTCTGTTGATAGATTAGCTCTTTCAGACAATGCTGTACCTCCATGAGGTCACCTTGCCCCTGAGTTTGTCCTCAGCTTTACAGATTCAGAAAATATATTTTATCAGTTCATCAGGGGGTGATCAAACTTTAGAAAATTCACTCACATCAAGTGAAGGTGTGAGAGACCGACTATTACACCAGAATGCCCATTTACTCATGCAGCGCACACACACACACACACACACACACACACACACACACACACACACACAC